ATACAGTTTAATATTTTATTTTTATATAATTTTTTTTTATATTAAAAAAAATTCTGTGCAACTAGGGTTTTTATTTTCTTTAAAATCGTGTGCCTCGAAGAGTTAACGAGTGGATCTCGTTTTAGGGGAAAGACACATTGGCGTTGTGGAGGCTCACGAATTTGCCATTTTGAATGAGAAAGTATCTATTAAAAACGATAGTATTGTTAGGAAAATTGAAAACATGTTCTAGACAATAGAATATGTTATGTAAGTTGAATTTGGCACAAGTCTTGGGATTAGGAGATTTAAATGGATTAGGTATTCATCTTTGATGACAAGCGTAAACTAGCAGGTGTTTATTATAGGGTATAGAAAAACTGGGTCTGTATGAAGTACTACATAATATAAATTACTCTTCATCTCGAATTTATAACTGTAACCTTATGATGACAGTGTTATTAATTACTAATAAAAAACAGGCACAGAAAAAAAGAAAAATAGCACTTAAATGCATTATCTAACTCACCTATTCTGTGTATATCCATCATAACCAAATCAGCGAGAAATTGTGGCGCTTTCTTTTCCCGTTGCATGACCGCCACCAAAGCTGTGGCGATGTCCTCTTTCGCTTTCACGCCAATCACCGGCTCTAGTTTCTCGCACAGTGACTTGTAATCGGACTTCAAGTACTCCAGGAACTCCTGGTACACCTGAACAGGTAGTATGTCCACAGACTGGAAGCGGCATTTCACCCTTAACGCCGGTGGTTCCTTTAAAGGACCTTTGTCACCGACAACCGGGTACCACTTCTCGGTCAGATAACGCGACGTTACGTTGTGCACGGGTATGCTGACCGAACCTGAAATCAGATATGGAAATGTTTCGTAATTGATCGTACACAGTTGTGTAGTACAACTTTATAGTCCACGATCTACGTTAACCCTCTACAGACTCCTCTCGATTATTGTCCCCATCCCTGGTCCACGCCGAGACAATAATCTTGTATTTTGTAAATTTGTTTTTTTGCCCGAACCTCGGCAACAAAAGCGGCGGAGCAACAAAGTATGCGCTTGACAGGTTCCACCCCCCCCCCCACTCCACCTTCAGTGGTGGGGATGTCGCGCGGACAATAATCGTGTAGAACAGGCAAGACGATAATCGAGAGGAGTCTGTATAATGCCATGTAACTTTGAAGTCACACACACACATAGAGTGAGTCACAGGAGTATTCGTACCATCGCAATTCTTGAATTCGAATAATTAATATTCTATAACAATGTACATTTTTAAACGGTTATCAATAAAGATATACATATTGTGCAATAACTAAGTTTTTGAATGATGTTCAGAAATCCGTAGTTTATCTATTACCTATTCCTGAATTTTAAAATGATATCAGTAGTGTGACACATAATTTCAGCAAACGTCAGCCTCCCCTGAACAAAGTCCCAGCAATTAATACATTCATCTAAATAATATAAAAAATTATCAATCACACTGACTTATCGTTTATGTGTACACGATATCTTAACACTGACGAACCGCTAGTTTCGCGTGTAACCTTTACCAACGACCGGCTGTTTTTGTCAAGAATCAACAAAATATGGTTTTTCTTATATATGCAAAAATATTCAATAACTTTGAATATCTGAAAATTATCAGTTGATATTCACATGATGCCACTGTGGCGTCATCGGTCGTAATAATGTTAATCCTACAGTAAATATGTCCATTAAAAGTAAATTAAAAAGTAATTTGAGAATATCGTGCGCAGAATTATCTTACCGATTAATACATTCTTGTCCCTCTTCTTCTTTCGGTCAGCCTCCCTGTACAAGTTCACTTGTATGGTGTTTACAGACGGCAAATGATGGAAGTCAAAGTGTTCGCCCCAAAAGCAAAGGTCGGCCTTTAATTTCGCGGTGGTCCTTGCGTACAGGGTGCTGTCCAGACAGACCTCGCAAAAGTATCGTTTCTTCGCTGGCACACCCTTTGCCTCGAGCAGCCAGATCTGCAGGGAATTGTCCGTTCGTCTCGTCTGCTCCGCGTCTGGTTGTACGGATTTCCTTAAACTGGGTGTGAAGCACAAAATTAGCGTTTAAGGCCTTAAAAATTAGCTGACAGCAGGGGGTAATTAGGGAAATCCAGTTGGTGGTGAGCTGATGAGCAAACCACGGTCTGACAATTATTTACTTGCTGTTCAGAATAAAAAAATTCAATAAATTGACAATTTTTAAATGACTAAATTAGATTTTTTGAGATCGCCTGTATGGATTATGTATTGGCTTTTTCAATTTTGGAGCAGCACCACAGAAAAAGGTTGCTTATCATTGTACTAGAATATAAATTAAGCAAATATTAGATGACTAGATTACTCAGCTATGCAAACTTAATATTTATAATATCATCATTCCCGAAAGTTTTCAAGTTTCAATAAAGATTCATGAATGTTTGCTTGAGTTATGGTTTCATGACGAGGAAAAAGTCTTTCGAGAAATTCTACGTATCTTCTAATAAAATCAATCTGATGTTGACAGAAAAATATTCATGAAAGATAGAGTATAACATAATACAATAAGAAACATATAATAAATTAACCCCAAAATGACAGTGTGATAGAAATAGAAACACATTCGTCTCCGATAGTTCTAATGTTACTAAAAACGCAACAAATTTTCCAAACAACCCAATCAAATCCTCGCGTAGGCAGGTTCTAGGTGTCATCATCAAAACCTATTACAATAATATCTCGATGAGTGCGACGTACTCGGGTCCACTTCGAAGCATTCATGGCAAAGCGTGAAGGTTTTTAGCTCCTCAAAAATTAAGTTTTTTTTCCCGAAGCCAAACCTCTGCTTAATTTCTGCATACTCTGTTTCGATTGGTTCCACAGAGGTACCCCTCCAGTGATGGGAATAACGCTGTCGCTCGTGTCGCATTCACCGAGGAATCACTGTAATTCCTTTCCAACCACAATATCATCTATCGCCAGTCGGTCAAACAGAGAAAAAAAAAATCTCTGCTTGTCACTCATAACCGGAATAACACAAGGATCCCGTCGGCTCAGCATGGACTCCAGAGAATTCTCGTTCGTCCAGTGGTGACGGCGCCGGCGAAGAAGAAGAAGAAGAAACAGAGGGGAAACGGTACCAACCTGTGTAACCACTGGTCCCGTTCATGAGCGGTCCTGCAACTGAAATACTTGGGCCCGCCGGTGCTGGGCGTGACCTGGAAGCAGTGAGGTCTGCCGAGCAGGCTCGGATGCAGCGGTGTCACGGCCGCTAGGTCCATCGAGGTCACCGCCTGTCCGCAGAGAAGGGACTCGTGTGAACGGCAACCCCGAAGACCGGCGCCACGTTGCTTCTGTCGCTCGAGCTTCGTCACGCTCTTCGTCCTCTTCAGCGGGTTCGAGCGGAACGACCTCTTCGAGAAGAAATTCTGCGAACGGAAAGTAAACGGGTTGTCTTGAGAAATGCGTGCCGCGAACGAAATTGGGTTTTCGCGTGGACTGTTTTCGGTATTAATCGGACGTTTTCGTATAAATAAAACGGGTTCTAGAACAGTTAAACGGTGCTGGAGTTGACGGGGGATGCTAAACCGGGGAGAGAATTGTATTGGGTTGATGTGTGAGTAATAGGAATTCTCCAAGTGATATTTTTGTATTATTGTCACCACAATTTTCCAAGAGATTGTATGTTATAGTGGTATATTATACAGTATATAATGGAAAATGTAGGTAGTTGACATATTTGACAATACAGATGGTTGATTAAATAAATTGTTTTCATGTTTATATAAAAAATTTTTTTTTCATGCGAACAGAAATTTTCAGTGTTTATGCATCAACCCAATATATTGTTTTCCATTCGATACTCTGGACGGATATGTACTAGGTGTGTCAATAAAGTTTCGAGAATAATTTATTTAACCCTAGATTATTAAAGTATTACTATTAATCATTCGTACTAATTGCGACTGAAAGAAAACGCGTAATATTTTAGAAAAATATTTTGATCGAGGTAGAAGCTTACGTTGTAAGTATTAATGATAGCCAGAATTAAAAACAATGAAAAATTAAGACAGTAATAAATCAAATTTGATTAGGACCTACGAGATTCAAGTAGGTTACAAGAATTACTACCTTGGAAAATGTAGGTTTATACGTTCCAGTTTCACGAAGAAAATGTGACTTGAACGTTGTTGGAAATTTTTATAGCAACTCGCCGGACAATCAATATGCTAGAGTGTTCGATAACGCATATTATTGACTATAAATTATTATTGGCGATGAAATTTGAGAGTAAGTTATAACATAGAAGACACTACAATTCAGCACGTAAATAAGATTACATATTTTTAAATACAAGAGGACGTGGAGAAATCAAGGCGCGGCTTAAGCAATCGGAGAACCGGACTTTATCACCAACAAAAATAATTAAAACGTTAACGCTGCCATGGTAGCAGCAGTTCGTGAAGATCTCAACTATCAGAAGACTACGGTAGCAAAAAGTAGGTTAGATATTCGGTCAGAGAAAATATATACGAATCACAGAAAGTATGAAACTTTCGATAGTCCAATGTCGCAGCCTCGTTCGGTATTGAGTTTTCGAAGCTGGTCGTGTCGCATAAGAGTTTTACGATCATGGAAATCGATTCTAAAGTTCTTTCGCGCGTGAAACAAATATGAAAGAAACGGAAAATTGTTGTTTGAAACAGAACAGGGGGAAGGCTGTTTGAAACGAAAAGTGTAATGTTTCTTGAGAACTCTGGCAATTCCTGTTAAGAAGCATTTCTAACAACCAAAATACGGATATTTGTGCAATTTCATTTATATGGATTACTTTATACAAATAAAAATATTCTTTGTACTAAAAATAAAATAAAAACTCCACTGATCGAGGATAATCGTTTTGTTTCGCCGTTGTATACACCTGCATGTACGAAATTCAGAACTTCAGTAAAGTCTAATTAAATTTCTTTTTTCAATATTCATGCACTGAGATGGTTAATATTCGTCGAACATCCGATTTTGTAAATTATTGTGACAATTTTTAAAGGGAATTTCTATACAGTCCGAACTATTATTATCAGTAATGCCAGTGTAACCAGGAGCTCTTAAATTTTCTATTTTCAAATACAAAAAAAAAAGAGTAATCTAAGCATTGTCAATTTTAAAATATTATATAGTGTCTAACGTGTAATTAAAAAATCTTACGACGATAATTACCCGTAGCAACTACTGCAATTTGCAGGGAATCTCGAAGTAATGCTTTAAAACACAAGCGCACACCGTTAAAACATGTTAAATCCACAAAAAAGTTCAATTTTCAACGTTTTCCTTTTTACACAAGAACCAATTTCTGTCCTAGAATCGTCACCGAAAGTCACTTCACTACGTTGACCCACATTTTTCTGGTAAAAACGTACAGAAAAATGGTTAAAATAAATGATATTACGACACACCAGTAATAGTCACATTCTTTTATGGAAAACCTAATCGAATAACTGTTACACAGAAAAAGTTCACCGTTTGGATCGAGTTGAGAAACGAGTCGTTTACAAATGATCGCACGAACTAAGCCGACGAAGAAACCGGTAGCAAAAGTTGCCAGTGCCGCGAGTGAAAATCATCGACTGACTCCCGAAGCGACATCGAGAATCCTTCCTGACATTGCTCAGGTGAAAGGTATTCCGCTGTGATACTGGGAGGCTCCTACCACGTGTATTGTATCCGGAGCAATCGCCGTACGTTGTTGCCCGAATGATTCTTGCCGCTTAGGTCGTATGCCGTCTAGTTACTGCCGGCAAGAATCATTGGAGCATGGTGTAATACTTGCAACGTAACACACATTCTCTGCGTTATATGAGTTCTTCATATTTTTGATATTGTAAGAATATCAGAAATTAATATTGTCATAAAAATATTGATACTATTCAGTGACAATCTTCAGTGCAAATATTTATTGCATTACCTACTCTGAAATGTACGTACTACGCACAATTTTCATAATAATATGATTGATAAAATGATTCGTATCCAACCTATTTTGGACGAAGATAGTGAGCTACACATTTTTTTCAATAGATATCTGTTTTAATTAATTTTTCTAGCATTAATAATAACAGATATATAGGTGATAACGTGTTTTAATATTCGAGTGACACAATATTTTTAGAGCTGTAACTGTACTTTTGGAAAACATTGCTATACATTTATTATTTTCTTCAGGATATTTAAAACGAGGATATAATTAAATTGTTCAGTTCAGAAATTATTTATATTTTGTATACCGCGTTCATTACTTGGTCTTTAAGTACGGTTAATAACTGTCAATCTGTTAGATAATTTCGCAGTTTGAAATCGAAATTATTTGACATAAATTGATATTTCATCTACCTTTAACTGAAACGGACGAAAGTATGTCATCGTGCATTCAGTGTGACAAAAATGACTTTGTTTATGCAAATAATCGACCTTCAATAATTAGTAAGATTAAAATAATCGACCTTTAATAATTAGTAAGATTAAAATAATCTATCTTAGCCTGAAGTAATAAGTTATATTATATACATTCTCTTATAAAAGGCTACTAAATAATTTTGATGAGTAGTTCACTTACAACTTCCACGAAATTCATTCCAGTTAATTTCCAATGAGGCGTGTACTTAATAATTTACACTATCCCGAATACACTCGTAAAACATTCTGTCGCGAACCATAGTTGGTCCAATTTCATTCTGAATTTACGTGTACTATATGGTAATTCATAGAGATTTAAATTGCAAATATCTCCTATAGGGCAAAGAAAGTGTTACGGTGGCTAGCCAGTTACCGTTTTTGTTCGCCGCAGATTTTTCAACAAGATCGCCGAAACGATCTCGAACGTTAAATCGTCCGTTCCACTTTCCTCGACTTTTGAACGCGTTTTGTGTGCCCCTCTCGGGGTTATCGGATAAAGACCACTTGGCTATGCGCCAGCGAAACTCGGAAAGAGTCCAAAGTGTTTTGCGTGTTCCCGGAAATGCACTTGGCAATGCGATGGGACCGGAAAGTTCATCGAGTTTACGTCAGAATCAGCACAGGACAATTAACACTAGAATTACCAGCGTATAATGTATGCTAAATTGTATATTAATATATATATTAATATGGAAATATAATATATTAGGATGTTAACTAAGTTCTGCAGATCGTTCATAAGTGGTGTTAAGGTAATACTCTAATTATATAATAATAATATTCTATTATCTGTATACATTTTATAAGATAGTATGGTGTAATATAAAATGTATAATAACGTAAAAGTGAACCTAAATCACGAGAAAAGCATTTCTATGATTCCAGTAATCAATCATTTGACAGGTTTGGTGGTTCTATTGTTAACACGGATTTATGAAAGATTTGTCTGCAAAGTATCAAATGATTTTTTAGTGTAAAATTATTTGTATGATTCAGCTCATGTAAGCTTAAGAAGAAACTACGTAATAATATTTAAATGATTGCAAATGTGACTCTTCAGAAATTTAATACTCCTTTGTATAATTTAAAGGTGCCACTGGTGATTACCATGGTATTCACATATTCATAAAAATACTTTCAGTAGGCAATAAATGTTATGAGGGATATCATAATTTAATTGAAAATTATAACAAAAACCCATTTCCAATGAATCTTTATAAACGTACAAACCGACGATGAGTATTAGTGATTATATAGTATGAAAACATGACAGTAAATCATATATTTATAATTTTATTACTCGTTGAACTGCAAGTTTAATCGCATAAAGAATACTTTCGAGTAATATATTATCACCTAACGGTTCTACTGCTTTTCTTTATCTGTCAGAAATACTATCCCAAATACAGTAATTAATTGTTCCCACGGACAAGATTACGAAAAACTGCAATTTATCCCAGATGTTGCAGATATCCTTTCGTTTTCTCCTGTTCGTGCATATGAAATATTTCTTGTCCTTTCTCTGGAAGGCCGTTTCGATTTTGCCACGAAATGACAGTATCGCAATCATACCGTTTCGTAAGTAATAATTCATGGAAATTACAGGGTAGCAGGGAAACGTGCCCAGTGACCATGAGATTTCACGGCGTTTTTTATTTTGAAAGATAAGCCGAAGAAATGATGGTATGCGAAAGAGTATCAAGCATGTGATTTCGTGTCTAAGCATTCTTTTCGTGCAATTGTACGTTTCGTTATTTCTTACGTTTGCGACTTATGCTGGTGGAAAATATGGGTTTCTATGACTGCGAATTCTATGAATCTTTTTATCGAATTGTTTCAAGCTACGGCAGTTTCGCCATTGATCGGCGATACTATGCAAATTATTATTTTATTGATTCTGCAATCTGTAGATTATGGATTTTATGCGTATATGCAAGTATGTAAAACACAATGAGACCGAAACTTTTAAGAGAATTAAAAAAGGTTTTAGACTGCTGTTAACTACATAATAAATAGATTTTCAATTTTTTGTTATTGAAATTTTTATAGAATGATCTTCGAAATTATGGATATGTATAAGTATCTACAGTTCAGTTATGAATTATATAGTATAGAAATGTTTTTAAACAATGGATACTTGAATAAAATTAACTGTATCGAATAACTGACTTGGTAAATAACTTTTTGATGCTTTTTAATACGTCATTCTATTTAATATGGACGAGGAATATTTATTTTCACGAATAATTAGATTCGTGTAAGACATTTGAATAATCATATGCAAATTTTTTGGATAATGAATTATTTAGCGTTTTGTCGTTTAGAAGGAAATTATAACTGAAAGTACATCAATAATGAATAATTATAACCTGCAACATTTCCATAAAATATATAAATCCATGATTTTTCTACTTGGAAACCTTGAAAAAAGCTCTTCAGCAAAGTAAGGAAATTCCTCTTTAATAACAGCTTCTATAATTTGCCCATACGAGATTATATTAAATTTAATGAAATTTCTATAATCGTTAATTCTATAATTTGTTCATCCGAGTTTTTATACAATTTAATTAAACATTTACTTAATTTGAAACCTGAAAACTCCTCAACAGACTGAAGAGATTCCTATTCAACAACAGCTTTTATAATTGGTCCATACAAGATTACATTCGCGCAAACATCCGCAATCTGCTCGTAACAGTATCGACTTCCTCGACCTGCCACAAAACAAGCGCCGCTCCAACTACGTAAAACAACAAAAGCAACAAGTCGGGACCGTAATGTTCAATTATGCAGAACGCTATTCATCCGTACGGCCCTTATCCACTCCGCGGTACGTACTAAAATCCCGCCTCCCCTACGCACACATTTACCCTGGCAGTGAAGTAGTTGATGATCATGCTGACAACCTTGTCCTCCTCGTTCTCCTCCATCGGTTTCACGCACATTTTTCTCCTGGTCATGCGAACTGTACCACCACGTGAGAATGCAAGCACAGAGAGCCCAGATGTGTTCCCGCGGTCCACGAATTCCACGACGGAAAAAGAATAGTCTCCCCAGTCACTCTGCGATCTTCAACCAGATCCCGGTGAATGCAAAACGCAGACTCTCTCTCTTAAGTCTCATCTTTTGTTTTCGATCTCTTTGCGACCCACTGGGGATGCACGCACTCTGGATATGATTAAACTTGGATGAAAGCCCGCAGGTTCAATACAATCGTTTTCTCGACATAAACAACAGATTTATCGGACGGCTGAGTCACGATCGCTTATGGTCCTCGTGTTCAGGGTCCTAGAAAATTGTGGAAACGCGATCGTTCATGGTTTTTATCGTCGTTCGCTGAATTTATATAGTCACTCGGTCGCGGTTTCACCGATTTACGCCTCGATCTTCGCTGAAGGTATCCAGTTGCTTGGTGTACCGTTTTCTCTGCGCTTCGTCGGTTTCACCTTTTCTTTTGTCTACGTTTCGTCGGTTTCACCTTTTCTTTTCTTTACGTTTCGTCGGGTACGTCTATCTTTTTCTCTACCTTTTCGTCTGTTTCACCTTTTCTTTTCTTTACGTTTCGTCTGTTTCACCTATCCTTTTGTCTACCTTTTCGTCTGTATTACCTATTCTTTTCACTACTCTTCAACAATTCCTCTTCTCTCTGAATTCTATCAGTTTCACCTTATTTATTCTCCACGTTTCATCGATTTCACCTTTTCGACTGATTTTTGAACTAATTTGCATCCTCGGAAGTCTGTAAAGTCTCTCGTGTCTTCACACCGAAGATTCGTTATCTTCATCAAAAATTCTATCAAGTATAATCGACAGACAATTTCTGACGGTGTATCAATGGTTTTTTCGCACGTGGAGATTCACACGGTTTGTTGTAGGCGAGCACGTCCGCCCGGTTAAAAGTGTCCCTCGTCGCTAAACTCGCGGCACAAACACACGGAGCAGACGTTATCGTAACACGTGCGAGCGTGATAAGCTCGACCAATGCCAGGATGCATTCTAATCAGCGAACTGCGTCACCGGTTTCTGTGGCTGGAAAGCACGCTGCGATAATGTCGCAGCTTTCCCCGAGGATTCTCAGCTGCTGGCTGGGAATTTACTGGACATCGGAATCGATCGCCAGTTTGTTAAAGTTCGAAACACCTCGAAACGGAATGACTGAACTTCGGACGAACACCTGTGCTTGATAGATTTTATTAACTATCCAGCGTCAGATATGATCTCTAAACTGTTATTTTTCGATTTTCTTTTTTATATTGAATTTCCTGAAAGTTCCTTCAGTATCATTCATATTTGTTGCCACAAACTTTATTATTAAATCAAGTTGAACAAATATTATGGAATGTTAAGAAGCAATATTTTGTTAAACGTCGATATTTTCGTCGAGTTTTTAGTCGAACTTCCAATAAATACTGTGCTTTATCTAACAATACTTTTTTAACAAATCTTATTTGATGTCAGTTACAACAAATTAAATCAATTGGTACTTAATATTTTGTTGGGCAATTCAATCTATGACACTCCGTTAAACACTCGTATTTCACTCGATAATAATTATCTCGATAAATACTTTCAAACCGTCGTCCATCAATTAAGTACTAGAAAGTCTGGTGGAACACTGATTATTTAAAATTCTTCCACGCAGTTTCAACAGTCTGAACAAACGTTCAAATATCACTTTAACAAACTATCACAGTTAGCTTCGTTATTTTTCTCCCACGTTCTAACAGTCAACATGTAACAATTAACCTCGAACCAAAAACATACACAATTTCACATATATATATATCGGTAGATCAATTCGCAACGATGATTGCCTCCGTCAAACCTGCGATTAACGGTCGACTATCGCTAAAATTTCGAAAATTTTCGATCACTGCACACGAGTGTCTCGCGAACCGAGAAGAAACTGACGAACTATGGTTCCCAGTTTCCGGCGACCAGCCATCGGGAATCGTTCCGAGCGTTCTGTCGAGCACAATAGCCCCGAAGGGATTTCTATTCACACGCGGAAGCACGAGCCAGAAATTCCAGCGGGCCCGGCTCAGGTATCCCTTCGAGGGCCCCGAAAACGGGATCCACGGGTCCCAGGCATAACCCCCAGGTATACAGAACTCCTTGCACGCCTCTTTTTCCCTTCGGGACCGACCGAGGGGATTTAAATCGACAGGCTATTTAAACGATCTCCCGCCACTTCTGCGTAGATCGTTCGAGATATTATGCTTCCCTGATTCGGCGGTTCCTCTCTCTACCATCTTCTTACAGCGTCTCTATTTTTGTTCTATATTTACGTCGTCATTTTTAATCTACGATATTAATTTTTTATTTATATTTATCGAGTTTCTTGAATAGTCTCTTCGAGTGCCAGTATATAATTAACGACGTATTTTCGAACTTTTATTTCGGTTCTCATCGAAGTAGGAAAATATGGAACGCTTTTTTATTCAAAACTACCGGTTTCGTTAAACACTTATTTCTTTTGAAGATCCAGTAACGTTCGACGCACTCCCGATTTTCAAAAACAGAAACAGAAGTAAAATTTGTTAAACTTCAGAATCGTTGGAATATAAAATTTGCAAGAATTAACGTATTTTTTTGATTTCATAATTAACGAACACAGTATTTACACCAAATGTTTACAAGAACATCACAATATGTCAGTCTATTCAATTATTCACCACAGTACTGATTGAATTCACTGTCAAATGTCTTAATGTTTCGACAGTCCGTCGACGAAGAAATTTTCCACGGTAGTGATGCACGATTTGTAAATGCTATTGCCAAAACCAACGACGATTGTTCACCGTGACGGACGAATTGCGTTGCAACTGATGGCTGAAGGAAGCCGCGGAAACGCAAGACGGTATGTGTATTTTCAGCAAGCGTTTGCTCGTCGGTTTTCGTCGATTGCGGGGCCGTCGACCCTCGGTGGCAATCCGAGGTTCTTTGATGCTCCTTTATTTGGCCACGAGTCAGTTGTATTTACCAGCGTCTGCTCGTTGATAAATTATTGCTCCCGCCGTCACTCGACGAAACGGAATCGAGCTGCAGAAATTTTCGAAACACCGTCCCCTTTGAATTACCCTTAAAGTTTGCTCCAATTAAATCAGAAAATTGATTTCCAGTCACATCGAAATCAATCCAGTTTCTCAATCTGAAATTCCACTTCATAAGACTTGAGACATTTCCATTGGTTCATTCTATTACTGTAATTTAATACTGGCCAAAGTCCTCGAAAAGTGTCTTCGTTTGTCAAAATTCTCCAGACAAATAATCACCATAATATTAAAAACAAAGTAAAATTTCGGGACAATGATCACTACACGATTCACTGAACTGTTCGTGAATTTTAAGAATGCTTCGCGTCAACGATTTTGAAATGAATTTTCTTGATATTCAAAAAATTGGAAGAGAAAGAATTTGCATCTTCGGTTAATCCTCGAGTGTTTTTTAAACCGATCACAATTATCACCGAATGAGAGACGATAGTCGATGTTTGGATTCAATTAATCGACGAGCGAGGAAGTCGCATGGTTTCGTCCCGAGACGGTTATTTCTGCGTCGTGGATCGTAAGATCTCGCGAGAGCAGATGATTTCGCGGCAAAATCTCGTCGTCGACTGGCGCAGATGTTGCTCATCCGCGTAGCCGAAGTCAAGGGATCCTTGGGGCGCACCTTTGTGCCACGACCAAAAACCCTGCCCCTGCACATTCAGGTGAGGCAAAACGGGTCACCCCTTGGCCCTCCTCTCAGCCCCTCCCGGTCGTCGGGTGGCACTGGTAAGATCGGACAAAAACGTCTTCGAAGGGGGTTCTCAAATCACGTCGCACGAGTTTCCAAAGCGACGCAGCTGCGTATCCTGGCTGTAACGAATGTGCTATTCGCAGATGCGGAAATCTTCGACGAGACGCACTGTTTACCTCATCCATTATGTTTATCTTGTGTTCGACTCGTTTTTCGTCGCCCTGTTTTTTGTAGAACGTGGCGAATGTGTGGTTTTTTTTGGTGTATGAGAACTTAATAATTCTGGACCATTTTACTGAATGAGAAAACGGAGAATATGGCAATGTCGCGATCTACTTTAGTTTTATTTGATTTAGTGTATTTTAATTAGTATCTAGATAACCTGTGAGTAATGTCGTCAACGTTAGTTTAGAGTAAAAGGAAATTAAACATTTGATTTTTTTAGGAAAGTGTGTTTCATCGACAAAGTATGTAGGGACGAGATCGAGTATGAAGAATAAGATGCTACTGCCACCTGATGATGTAAATAAGAAACTGGTAAAATTCAGATTTTAAATTGTAATGTAGATTCTGTCGGCTGTTATAGTAACGTTATTACTTTTTTGTAAATATAAGTATTGGTTCAATATAAAACATTCAATAGTAAAATACGTGTCAGCTATTAATTAACCCTCCGTAGGCAAACATATTTTTTTACACTCATAGGCAAACTGGATCGTTTATGTCGAAACTTAATTGTTTTACTGTTTTAGGCTTGATAAAATCTGGAAAAATTATCAAAGTCCCCATTACATTATAGATACAATCAATGGAAATAAAAATTTGGATAAAAGTCCAGGAAAAATGAAAATTCGCTTGGGTCGACAACGACCCACATTTCTTCTGGAGAAGACTAATTAAACAGTTCTAATAACTTATTAATAAAAAAGTTCAGAAGTTCATATAATTTAATTATTATTAATATACACGTACCCTATAAGTACAAGCTTTAATTTAATGTACGAATGGCAAACTCTTTTTTATAGGCAATTTTACTTTCTAATAATTGCAGCAACTACGAATGTATTCAACATCTTTAACTGAAGAAACTATACACAAAAATAGTAACAGCATCGAGGAAAGCATACGGAACAAAAACATGTAAATTTAAATGGCTGGTGTTTAACCCTCGTTTAATTATCTTTTCTACTGCAGAAATTTGTAA